TCGGGTCGGGTTAATGCTCAACCCGAACCCGACCCGAAACTTTCGGATCAAAATTTTCTAACCCGAACCCGACCCGATTCGGAGCACTAGTGGTCATCGATATGACACATCACATAATCGCAACTCACTCCGTTGTCACGACAAACACCATCGAAAGAGACGAATGGGAAATTGCCGCTTTGTTATCAGGTTCAAGTATTAATTTCGTGTACATCCATTGATGAAAGAGATGTCTGCGATGACCCTAATATCAGTCAAGTAAGATGAAGTCAAGGTCATGTTATTAGAAAATTATATCGTCAAGAATCCGTTGCAGAAAAAAAGGTTGGCCAACTTTCAAATGAAACGGAATTTCGAAATTTCTGGAGCCAAGTTGCTATTGCAGAATTCTTGCACGATTCGCAATAATTTCTGAATTGAAATTCTATAATTAGAAATATGCTTGACTAATAATTGTTTATTGTTCAAGACGGGGTTGTTTACTTAAAAGGTGACTGCTTTTACGTTTACTTTAATTGGGCTGAGGAAGGTGATTTATATAGTTATCTCATGAAGCATAAGAAGTTTCAATGGGAAATCAAAGCCAAGCTTGCGTATGCAATCTCCTATGTTTTATTATATTGCCACGAAAAAAATATTCTTCATCACCAAGTAAGAAGGTAACTATTTTCAATTTGATCTAGTTAAATTGTGAACCAAATAAATAAAAAATGACAATTTTAAATGATTTTTTTTTTAATAGCCACAATGTCTTGCTGGATGAGCATCAACTAATTTTCAACAAAACCGACCGTCAATTGCACAAAAGTCCTGGAGTTAGAAATTGTCTCAGGAAATTCTCCGGTAAGTGGATTAATATGTGTACATTATTGGGCAGACGACAAAAAATAACGGCAAATTGTTTTTTTTCATCGGAGTTAATGTCACTCCATGTGCTGCTACGCAGCACATGAGTGAAATTAACTCCGATGAAAAAAAACAATTTGCCGTTATTTGTCGTACGTATGCCCAATAATGATGTTATCCGATAGTTAATATGACCATGTGAAGTTTTCTCCGTGATATTTTGCAAAACTGGTTACGTAATTTCATGCAAAAAATATCATGGCAAAAAAATTCACATGATCATATGAAATGTCGGATAAGTTAATAAATCAAACCGCAATAAAAATTAAAATGATGAATTATTCAAATGTCCTGACTGAATGATATAAAGAAAATGGCTAATTGAGAAAACATAATTTGTTTGCTCTATACAAGTACAATGATTGTTGGAGAATAGCGAGGAAGACGAAGAATCAAAAAAGCGAGTGTTAAACTTATAAGGCCACACAAAATTGATTTTTCGTTTTACATTACCTGACCAACTCATTTTTCAATTTTCAAAACTTTTTTTTTTTTTTTTTTACACTCCGATTGTGCTAATTATTCGATTTTTACTGTTTATTTTTCTGATATTTTATCCGTTAGGCAAGACAAACTTGATTCTGTGCTTTACATTACCTCCAACGTTCCCCCTCTCCCTCATAGTAAAAAAATTTAGATAAATATATATAGGGCTACGGGCTATTTCAGAAAATTTTTATATAGTAACCACAAATCCCCCCTTCTGGGGGTAATGTAAAACACAGATCAAGTTGGTCTCGTCTTATCACCGATAGAGACCCCACTTTTCCGTAATCATCCGATAGGAACGATAGGAACGACAGAAGACAACCAATTTTCTGATTCCTTGTTATGCAACAAGAAAGATTAACTTTACGTAGCCTTAATGTGAACATGATTCTATTAATATAAGTAGATTTAAAAAAAAATCTGATCGACTGACCCACTTTTCAAATTCATGTAATGCAAAACGAAAAATTAACTTTGCGTGGCCTAACACTAGATAATAAAAAAATTATAAATCGCTTTTTTTTCTAATCAGACCCTAGTTTTCAAGTAAAACAAGATATTCATTAATTTATTATATGTTCATAAACAGATTGACTGCGCTGGAAAAACTCTCTCATAATGACGTAAGGTATTCTAAAGAATGTGAATATTCATGTTTGTAATATATTTTCTCCTGTATTGACAGTTTATTTATACGTAGTTATTATTATAAATTCCAATACAATTTCACCCCAACACAACTGTTAGCTTCGGTATGCTCATGTATGAGAGCCCATTGGTTGCATCCATAAATAACATAATCCAGGCGTGGGACCATGATTCACAAAAACGGTCATCAATGTCGCTAATATCTAATAAGTTATATAATCTTTATTCATTAATTAAAAAATCTTGCGGTGCGTCAACGATAGCTACTCAAAATCTAAAATCTTAAACCGAAAACGTCACTTTAGAGATGCAAACTAAAAAACAACACAACATTCAAAGAAGGTTCTTCCGAATCTCATAATGAAAATGTCATTTATGAGATGCAAACAAATAGTAATTCAATAATCAAGGAAGTTTCTGATGAGGATTTTGCATCCGACCTGAATCAGGCCGAGGCCTTCCATGCACAAAGGTTATTTTCAAAAGCGTTTCCAATATTTAAAAAATTTGCGCAGATGGGAAATAGTGATGCATGTTGCTTGTCGGTTTATATTTATATAAAGGAAAGAAATATTCTGGAGAGCCTAAAAATATGGACTATGTGCTTCATTATTTGGTTTTTCATTATTTGAAGCCTGTTGCTAGAAATGATTCGCTAGAAATGGTCATGCAGAGGCACAATACATTAATGCCATGATATATTACTGAAAGAATGAACCAAATATGAATGAGTACTCATATATCAGGTTACATAAAGAATTTCTTGATTTTGCAGTAAAACATAATCATGCAGATGCATTATATATTTGCGGACAGTTTACTTCTTAGGCAATTTTTATGAAAAAAAATATGGATATTGGTCACAATTTGTTAAAAGCTGCACATAACCATAATCATAAAAATGCAGCTACTACATTGCAGCAACTCGAACAAGACAATGGACAAGACATAACAGCTGAATTTAAAAATGATGCAATTGTTGAATTGAAGGAATCTAGTGAGTAAGATAAGGTTACAGCTACTAAATTTGAAAAACGTGAAAATAATGTTAATATAAAACTACAAGAGCTCGTGAATCAAGGAGAGAATGTAGCTTTTGAACAAGGCAAAAATTTAATAATGCTAAATTACAACATTTTGAAAATCATGAATCGCAACTAATGCATAAAACTTTCTACAATTTATATGATTCCAGGTAATAGCAGAAAATAATCATTTTAACAATATTGGGTTTTAATTTTTTTTTAAGTGATTATTATATAATTGAGACCTTTGCCCTTACGATTGCATCGGATAAAGAAATTGACGTATTTATTACAAATTTCAAAAGTGTAACTATCGATATTCCATTGAGTTACAAATCAAAAACAGGGACTCTATTATGGCGGTTTGCAGAAAGGTGTAACACTGTGATTTTCGTGATGATGATGTCGAAAAATTTCAGAGATTCTAAATTGTCTATCAATCATATTTTTCAATCAGTAACGTCTATATTTATTCGAAATCTTTGAAATTTTCGGAGAATCAAAAAATCCGCTAAAATCTGTTAATTTTCTGTGATTTCATATAATAACATGATCTGTAGGTGTTACATCTTTTTGCAAACTGCCATAATAAGAAATTTACCAATTAAACTCGAAATTAAATTTGATATGCCATCAAGGTAAGTTTTAAAATTACAAATTAATGTTATGCTATCAAAATCATTATATTAATTCATTTATTTAAAAGAATTGAATCAGAAAGGTCAACAATTCAAATAGAAAATAATATGACATTTTTCAAGTTTAAAAAAAATAATTTTTAAGTTATTCGTGTGCATCTATAGTGCTTCATGCACTCTAGGTTCTTTTCTGTTCATATCAGATATAGAAATATTTTACTTGATATATCGTGTGAAACAGTAAGCATTCATAATATTGATGTAACGTAGTAACGTAGCAATACAAAATTCCACTATTTATTAACAATCGTGTTTCGTCTGATTAAATAAAAGATGTTATAGTGGTTGTAAAGATAAATAATTGTACTTATTTCATTTGTTACGTTGCAGTTAAGTCGCGGTTGATGCTATATTTTATCATCTATATTTTAAAGTATAAATCCTATTACAATGTGATGATAAATAAATGATAATTATCCGACATTTCATATGATCATGTGAATTTTTTTGCCATGATATTTTTTACATGAAATTACGTAATCAGTTTTGCAAAATATCACAGAAAAAACTTCACATGGTCATATTAATTATCGGATAACATCATTATTGAATATACGTACGATAAATAACAGTCAATTTTTTGTCGCCTGTCCAATAATGTACACATAATGCAATAAATAAAAATTTAGTTAGGTCGTATTATTTCACGCGTATCTCAAAGGAAGAAGCTTGTTGATTGCTAATTTTTACTAAGGATCTATCCGTGATCACCTGTGATAATTAACCAATCAAATTACAAAATTTCATCGCTTTAATACTATATACTAAAAAATCAAAAGAAATTTGTATGAAAAATTTTATAAATTAATAAATATACAAAAGTAGTATTTTATTATTAATAAACCTAGACTCATTAATACAATCTACGATCTATGAATCAAAACTTATTACGGTTGACAGACCAAAACATAACGCAAGAACCAACTATATTCAAGTATTAAACTGGGAGTAGGTCTTTTTTAGATTCTTTTGCGCGGTGAAGATTAACGTTATTCTAAAGCTATGAATGGTGTTTGCGACAATTTTTTAAACTGTTGTGCTACCAATAAGTACTTTAAAGTGTTTAAATTAGTTACCCGAGCAATTTATTTACATCAGCCAATCAGACGAATTTCTTCCATTGAGGGCGTGTCTGTCAGTTTTTTTTTTATTGTATTAGGGTTTTAAATATAAAAATCTTAGTATTAATAGGCAAAATTTTTATAGGTATGAACTTTATTTAAATAGCATGTTGCACTATTTTGCTTTTTTTAACACAATACGAATATAAAATATACTATATTTTATTTTAATAATTTATGGTCACTACTATCTGATGTGTCTATCTTGTGCTTCACTAACATTCCAAACTTTGTTAATACGAGTAACAATCTTATAGATCATGTTCAAAGATTCTTCTTGCTCAAAATTTGAATAGAAAGTTTTTATGCAATACATATTATTTTAAAAACAATGTTGATATATTTTTTATTATATACTATTTATTGGCGTATGTTAACATTTGAATTATTTGATTTTACATTAAAATTGATACTATTACCAATAATATTCAAAAATTTCAGTGTATTATTCTTACGAAGCGCATCTGCTAATGCTTTTCCGACATCTGGTCCAAGTTTATTCTTACTAATATTCAAAGAAGTCAACGAAGTATTCTTACAGAGTGCAACTGCTAATGCTTTTTTCCTCCTTCAGATCCAAGATTATTATCATAAAGATTCAAAGAAGTTAGCGTAGTGTTCTTGCAAAGTGCATCTGCTAGTGCTTCTCCTGCATTTGATTCAAGATTATTATTGGTAAGGTCCAAGAGTTTTAGAGTATTGTTTTTGAAAAGTGCATTTGCCAATGCTTTTCCTCCTTCTGATCCAAGTTTATTATCATAAAGAATCAAAGAAGTTAATGAGGTGTTCATGCAAAGTGCATCGGCTAATGCCTTTCCTCCTTCCGATATAAGATTATTATCATAAAGAACCAAAAAAGTCAGTAAAGTGTTTTTATAAAGTGCATCCGCTAAATCTTTGGCACCTTCCGATCCAAGAAAATTATCGGAAAGATTTAAGCAAAGTGCATTTGCAAATGTTTTTCCAACATCTGATCCAAGATTATTCTTTCTAAGATCTAAAGAAGTTAAAATAGTGTTCTTGCAAAGTGCATCTGCTAATGCATTTCCTCCTTCTGGTCCAAGTTTATTGTTATAAAGAGCTAAAGATGTCAGCGAACTGTTTTTACAAAGTGCAGCTGCTAATATTTTTCCAACTAGTGGTCCAAGATTATTTTTTCTAAGATCCAAAAAGTCAGAGCGGTATTTATGCAAAGTGCATTAGCCAATACTTTTCCTCCTTCTGAACCAAGATTATTTCCACCAAGATTTAAAGACGTCAGAGTGGTGTTTTTGTGGAGAGTATATGCTAATGCTTTTCCACCTTCTGACCCAAGATTATTCTCACTAAGATCCAAAGAAGTCAGAGTAGTGCTTTTACAAAATTCATTTGCTAATGTTTTTCCTTCTTCTGGCCCAAAATTATTCTCCCAAAGATTTAAAGAAGTCAGTGAGGTGTTTTTACAAAGCACATCTGTTGATGCTCTTCCTCCTTCTAAACCAAGAATATTATTTTGAAGATTCAAATATTTCAGGGTATTATTCTTGCAAAGTGTTTTTATTAATTTGTTCAGTCTATTCAATCCACATTTATTAAAAGAAAGATCCCAAGTTGTAGCTCTTTTTCGATCTTCATCATTATATTGACTGTTCTCGAGAATTTCTTCATAAAGTTCTAATGCTTTGAGAAATTCTCCTTGCTCAAAGCATTCACGTGCTTCCCGCCTCAAATTCTCAAGAGTATTAATGTCTTGCATTGAAGCGTGAAAATTTATTGTATCAGGTAAATAAAGAGGAGATGATGTCGTAATATTGAGTGAATTTGCTGTATCAGGTAAATAAATAGGAGATGATGTCGTAATATCAGGTGAACATATTGTGTCAGGTAAATAAAGAGATGATGTAATATTGAGTGAGTTTACTGTATCAGGTAAATAAAGAGGAGATGGTGTTGTAATATTAAGTGAGTTTACTGTATCAGCTGTATCAGATAAATAAAGATGAGATGGTGTTGTATTATCAAGTGAATTTGCTGTGTCAGATAAATAAAGAGGAGATGATGTCGTAATATTGTGTGAATTGTGTGAATTTGCTGTATCAGGTAAATAAACAGGAGATGATTTCGTAATATCGAGTGAATTTACAAGTGCGATCCTATTATCTTGATGGCATGAAGAAGTTTTGCCGTTTTGAGCTGATGTCTTATTTGAATGATGTTGACTCAAGATTTCGTTATGAATAAGTTTTTTTAAATTACTGTGAATTAATTTTGTTTCTGGGCGATTAGCAGGATCATTGTCCCAACATTGTTCGTAAAGTTTAATGTAATGAGATGGTGTACCCTTTATAGGTTTTTCTCTATTTCCATTAAATATATGAAAACAGAGCTCCATCGGTGATTTGAAAGTTTGAAATGGTGGCATTCCACTTGAAATTTCCCAAAGAATTACTCCTAAGCTATATACATCTGATTTTTTATCACGTTTATAACCTTGCTTAATAAGACACTGAGGTTCGATATATGCCGGCATTCCTTGAGCAATTGAGTTTGAAGTCGTAGACTTTTCATTTATTTGCTTCGATAGACCAAAATCTGTGATCTTTGGTTGTCTTTGATGAATTAAGATGTTCTTCGAATGCTAAATTATTATAGTATTAGTGAATTAATAAATATAAAATCCAATGAGTTTATGATACTTACAAGGTCTCTATGAATAATATTATTATCATGTAAGAATGAAAGTCCGAGTGCTATTTCCTTAGCAATACGTAATTTATCTGTCCATTGCAATTTTGTAAAATTTGCTTTCAGGTATTCTCGTAAATTTCCGTCATTGGCATACTGTAAAACCATATTATAATGTCCGTTGCTATCTATTTAGCATTTGTATCAGATAAATATCCTTAATACGATTATTGTTTAATGACTTAAAAGTTATAGATTGTTTATTTACCTTTCGTTACCCCATAAAATAAAATAATGTTTGGATGGTAACAAACTCTTCGTAATAGTTTGAGCTGATTATGTATAAATAAGAAATTAATTTATAATTTATTGTAGGATATAATTTAAGTTTCAATATAATCAATAATACCTCTTTAATAAAGTCTTTAATGACATTTTCTTCTATACATGCATCGACTCTAAGGCATTTAAGAGCAACGGTTAACTCACAATCTTTC